CGCACGCTACACAACCAACTATTTTAGAGTGTTTTTCGATAAATCGCGATAGTGTCACTGTTAATTTAAGTTCTGCCACAATTTCCATCTATATTTACTACCTTTATACAACTATCAGTAGTAGAATAAATAATAAATAACATAAAGTAAGCTCCGTAAAGACTGACAAATCCACAAAATTTCAAATCAAATTCAAATGTGTCAAATGAATCGTCAAACAGAACTGTCAAGGATCCCCACCCTAGAGTCCTTTTTCCGCCCACCATGCATGAATACATGGATATCATTATGCTCCTTCCTTAGTCTTCTTATTCAAAGGTATCCTTCTATAAAAATCATCTGTTCATTGTCACTATAGAATGCGTCAATCAATCTTAATTTATGTCGTATACCAACATACCAAATCTCGTTTTTTATCTGAAAAAAATAAAATTTTATTTAGGGATGAGCCTAATCAAAAGTGGCTCACCCCTAAATAAAATTTTATATTTCAATAATCATATATTCAATGATAACTTCTAAATTCTATGATAACATTTTTTAGTAGAATTTAGATCACTTTTAGAATACGTAAAAGAAACATTATAAAAATAGAAACTTCATCACCGTCTCCTTTTTTAATTAAACATTTAAAACATAATATAGGTACTTATCCTTTCATGATCGATCCCAATATTGAAGTTAATTTGAAGTTACTAAATAGTATTAACAATAGATCTTTTAAGGATATAATAGTAATCTTAAATAATTATAATTAATAGTTATGACAAAGTTATCAATAATTGATTATCTGTTTTTCACGAGTTTTAGAAAAATGAAACAATACATTCTGAAGATAATTATATTTAAGTATGAATAACGGTAGTAAGATTATTTTTAAATTAATATAAATAATAGTATTATATAAATATTTAAAACGATTTAATCATCTGCTTAGTTAAAAAGCATTGATGCATGTTTAAAATATAAACAATGTAGGCACTTGATATTAGTTCTATTCTTCGATCTAAGTCTTAAGCTCCAATTATATCTCAATATCTGAAAAAAATATATTAATTTATTTGGATTTAGTTTTATATAAAATATTGAAAGAGTGAATTTAGCACGCAATGGAGTGATATATTTAATTTTATAAAGAAAATTAACACAAGATTTCTGCCAAAAATTAAGTCCGGTATTTTAAGTTAACGTCTCCTTTTTGCTGCTAAGGCTAACCTGGACAAGGCGTACTTTGTTAATGCAGAATCCGAACCGTGGACCTAGGTCATATCATTGCCGATTGCCTACCGAATTGATGAGTGTCTAACTGGACTTCACGGTCGAGATATTTGATCTCGTCCGGCCATGAACCGACGTGAATGAGCAGTGTGCGTCAATACAACACGTCGAAGTTTCCAGAGATTCACCCGTCCATCTACTCACATCGTCTAACGTCGCTTAACTTTGATGATCTATCTAGAACCAATGTTTCGACGTAGCTGGGCCGTTGTTCACTAAGATTTAATAATCTGTAACATGCATTTTCATTTATTTTAATATAATAATAATTTCTGTATATATTTTCTTTTTGGACATACGGTAAATGCTATGTAGTTTTCTGCAAAATCATCCAGTGGAAAAACCAAGTTTTAAATTTGTTAATTTTTTATGCAAAACATTTGGGTTGACTTTAAAAAAAAACATTAACATATTTAAGAGAAGAAACTGACGATTTGTTTAACTGAACTGATCCGTTTAATTAATTTTTCCTCTATACAGGGTCCGACAATGCTGCGTCGGGCATCTGTAGCTCCTAAAAATATTTGAATTTCTATAGGATGGCTCAAAAATGTGTGAGTGGATGGGGATGATTTTTTTAAATGGAACACCCTGTGTATTATTGAAGTTTTGGCTTCCTGTCAGATCACTTTACATAATACTAAAATATGAGTAAATATATCTCTATAGTTTCATAGATATTAATAAATAAATATAAAATATGTATTTTTTTACCTTCCTTAAAAAAATTATTTCAAATTGACACACATACATACATACAGCCATTACTCGCTGACGAGTATTTGACACACATCAGAAGATTGTCACGCAAGGCGTTTTCTTTCATGAGCTTGAGCTTTTCTGTGATTGAAAAGCCCGATACGTGATGCTTATGTTGCTCGGTACACTGCAAGTTTCGTTTTTGTACTCAAATCATGATTGTAGAAAACCCTGTCTTTTAATTTCCAGAATGCTCTTAAGGCGCTGCTGATTCTGTGCTGAATTTCAGAGTCAATAGTGGCTTTTTCCGAAATCAAACTGCCGAGGTAATTGAACTCCGCCACATATTCCAAGAGTTCTTCTCCGATTTTTATAGCGTTGTTGTGATCTTCCGGGGGAGTGCACATAATTTTAGTTTTGTCGATGTTTGGCTTAAGGCCCAAAGCCTCGTATGCCCAGGTATATGTGTTCAACATTTCTTGCAATTATTGTAACGTGTTTGCAACTAGAGCGCAGTCATCAGCGTATTGAAGTTCTGTGATGAATTTTGTACGTGTTTTTGCCCTGAGACTTTTTATGTTGAACAGACCGCCGTCGTATCTGTATCTAATGCCCAATCCTCTCTCCTGCAGTTTGCTGTCCACTATAATGAGCGCTCCCATGAATATGTTGAATAGGAGAGACATCAAGACACATCCCTGCCTAACTCCTGTATTTGTTAGAAATGGGTCGCTCAGTGATCCATGATGTGACACTTGACTTGTTGTTATTATGGAGGCTTTTACACACTGTAAGATATTTGTTGGGTACTCCGAACTTTTTCATAACGCACTCTCCTGAAATCAAAACTATATTAGGTATTTACTTTAGTTGGTCTATACTTACTTTGATATAAATATCGTAAATCATACGGGGTGTTGAAAAACGTATCTACGTATCTACGACAAACTTTCTAAAATATAAATTATTTTTCTTTGTATATTATTTCTATATTAGATGGAGAATTAAAAAAATAACATTTTTTATATTTATATGTAATAACATTTTTTATGATTTAAAGTATTTCAAAATGTTTAATGGTGTCGCAGATACAGGCAGTACCTATTATTTTAAATGGCTCTTTCGTAAAACACGAGAGAAAAATTCACTGGGTATCTTTGATAAAATTTTACTGTAAAAATGCCATATGAAATATAAAACCGCGAATATCTGCGAAACCGTTAAAAATTTTGAAATACTCTAAATAAAAAAAATATTTTTTAATTCTTGGTATATTGAAAAAATAATATATAGGGTGTTCCGTTAAAAAAAGTATATCCCGATCCACTCATTCTTTTTTGAGCCACCCTATAGAAATTAAAATATTTTCGTGAAATACATTCTAGTACATACTTTAGGTTTGCACTTTTTGTTCGCACAAAATTTTGAAGTTTCTTATTCTCGGAGCTACAGATAATCGACACACTTTTGTCGGACCCTGTATAATATGTCAAATTGTGAATGAAATAAATGTTCCTAACGGTAGATCTCCAATAGTTCCGCCTTCATTTAACATTGCAACTACTTCTTGTGTCATTATTATTATGAAATTACTAATTCTTTATGTTAATTTGTACATACACGGTTAAAATAGAAGATTGAGGTCGAAATCTTTTAACTTTCAAGGTAAACTTTAAATATCAGCGTAATAAAAACTTTATATTTGCTGAAGTGGTTGGGAAATTATAGAACTATTTATAACTTATAGAAGAAAAGTAAAAAATCATCCATAGAATAAATACAGTTCCGTAAAGTAACGTAATAAGACGGAAATCTAAGTTAAAGAATATGAAATTCATATTAATGATTGAAAAACCTAACAAATCCGTATTCTGAAATTTAGAATATTTATAACATGCTTTGAGAAATGTCTCGTAAATAAAACGACCTTAAACTCAAAGAAAAGGAAGTGTTTTAATTACTGATATACCGGGTGTTTTTACTTTTTCAGATAAAATAAACGAGATTTGGTATATTAGCAGAGTAAGTAGATCGCCGAGTAGCGACAGAAACTGTCGGCTCTTTTGATGTTGTGGGACCCAATTTTCTTTCTCTCTCTTTTCACGTGTTTGACAGATAGACTACGTATTTAACTGCTCAACTTATGAAGTGGTCCTATAAACATGGTATACACTGCTCATAATTTGAAGTGGAATTAATTATAAAGTTTTATACATATTTTTTTTGTTTTGTTTTATCCTTATTTCTAAATTTGAATGTATAAAATATCTTACAGCTAATAAATATTAAAAAAAACGATTCGTTGACTGAGGTATACTTGAAATAAAGTATATAGAGATATTTGATAAATGGCAACAGTGGAAAATTCGCTTCTTCATATGACAGATAACCTACTTATTTCGCGCAGCCGCAAAGAAAATTGAAAACGGGACTGTCACTACTCGTCGGTTTACTTACTCTGATATTAGAACATTACATAAATGAGGATTGATTAACGAATTCAAGGATTCTTGAGAAAATTGATTAGATTGTCTAATGATTTTCGTGACTTTCCTGGTCGGTTAATAAATTAAAATACCACTGCGTCTACATATTTTAAAAACAAAACAAAAAAACAAAAAAGCAAAAAAAAAAAATAAAAAAACAAAAAAAAATTAATAGATGTTGTTAAAAGAGTAGCAAGTCTGAAGTGGCTATAGATAGGACATGTCGCAAGACAAGATCCAGACCGATGGCCCAAAAAAGTCATCCTATGGAGACCTAGGAGAACAACAAGAACTGTGGGCAGACCAAAAAAGAGAAGGGTCGATGACGTCAGGGTAGTGACTGAAAGACAATGGATAAGATTGGCTGGAGATCGCGAAG